GTCTCATGTATCTACTTGAGCTAAGAAGCACACTCTTCACGAGTATCATTTTATGTCCCATAGTCCAGACTAATCTTTGTCTGAAGAGTTGGCCTTGAGAATGGTTTTAGTTTGGGGCTAACAGAGAGTCTGGGGGCCGTGTCTTCTGGGGTCCCTCCAGTCTCAGTCAAGCCATTAAGTCTGGTCTTTGTACTAGAATTTGAGTTCTGCAACCCACTTTTCTCCTGCTCCGTCAGGGACTCTCTGTTGTGTTCCCTGTCAGGGTGATCTTTGGTGGTAGCTGGGCACCAGCTAGTTCTTCTGGCCTCAGGCTGATGAAGTCTCTGGTTTTTGTGGCCCTTTCTGTCTCTTGGGCTAATACTTTCCTTGTGTCTATGGTGTTCTTCATTCTCCTTTACTCCAGGTGGGTTGGGACCAATTGCTACATCTTAGATGGCCGCTCGCTAGCTTTTAAGACACCAGATACGACTCACCAAAGTAGGATGCAGAACATTTTCTTAATAAACTTTGTTATGCCAATTGACCTAGATGTCCACTGAAACCATGGTCCCCAGACCCCCACTCCTGCTACTCTGTCCCTCAAAGTGTTTGGTTGTATTCAGGAAACTTCTTAGCTTTGGTTTAGTCCAGTTGTGCTGATTTCCCCTGTAGTGTGTGCTGTCCTTCTCTTCACGTAAGATAATTCTTGTCTTCTGTCTCGTTAGTGAATAACTCTCTGCCTCCCTCCTCACCCTCGTAACCATCAAAGAATGTTTTCTTCTGTGTTTAAACCTTTTCTTGAGTTCTTATAACTGTGGTCTTATACAATGTTTGTCCTTTTGCAACTGACTAAATTCACTCAGCATAATGCCTTCCAGATTCCTCCATGTTATGTTTCATGGATTCATCTTTGTTCTTTACCATTGAGTAGTATTCCGTTGTGTGAATACACCATAATTTGTTTATCCATTCATCCGTTGATGAGCACCTAGGTTGTTTCCATCTTTTTGCTATCGTGAACAGTGCTGCAGTGAACATGTGTGCACATATATCTATTCGTGTAACAGCTCTTATTTCTCAAGGATATATCCCAAGGAGCAGGATTGCTGGATCATATGGTACTTCTATTTCTAGCTTTTTAAGGAAGGGTCCTTGGTCTTCTTTTGTTGTTGCTGGTTGCTGTAAAGTTGATTCTGACTCATGGTGACCCCATGTGTGCAGAGTAGAGCTGCTCCATAGGGTTTTCAAGGCTGTGACCTTTCAGAAGTAGATCTCCAGGCCTGTCTCCCAAGGTGGGTTCCAACCACCAAACTTACAGCTAGTAGTGGAGCACTTAATGTGTTCACTGCCTAGGGACTCCTGGATCTTTCAGCAATATTTAGGGTTTTCAGAATACAGGGCTTACACATATTCTGCTAATTTGTTCTTAATGATTTTATGTTCTTATTTTATGTTTCTATTGAAAATTAAATTGTTTTTAAAGTTTCATTTGCAAATTGTTTGTTGCTAGTATATAGAAATACAAGTGATTTTTGTATATTGACCTTGTGGCATGTAACATTGTTAAATTCACCTATTAGATCTAGTAATTGTTCTGTAGATTCCTTAGGATGTTCTAGGTAAACAACCATGTCACTTGTAAATACATGGTATTACAATCCAAACTTAATGCCTTTTCTGACTGCACTGTATAGAAACTCCACTTGACAGCCTTACCGTATTACGGATCTCAGGGGAAATATGATCAACATTTCACCTTAATTATTATGTTAGCTCTAGGTTTTACTTAGATGCCCTTTATAAGCTGATGAAGTTCTCTTTTATTCTTGGCTTCTTGAGCTTGTTTTAAGTCATAAATAGGTGTTGAATATTTCAAATTATTGTTCTGCATCTATTGAGGTGATCATATATTCAGTTAATAAGCTTAATTTCATTGATTTTTGAATGTTAAAAACAACTTAGTATTCCTGGGATAAACCCCATTTGGTCATGATGTAGCATCCTTGTTATACATTCTTGCAGTGTGATGGATCGCTTTTGTATGGCCTTTCTCGCTATGGTCTTGTAACTCCCACCCAAGTTGATTGGGTAGAACTGTGCAAATAAGGTAGTTGTGGCCCATCAAGGGGATTGGTCAGTTTTGCCATCCCACTAGGCTGAAAAAAGAACCAGTTCCAGAGCAGAGAGAGGAATCCACCAACAACAACGAAGGAGAGCCAAGAGTGGGGCGTGCCGTTTGGACCCGGGATCCCTGTGCTGAGAAGCTCCTGGACCAGCAGGAGATGGCACTGTGGACTTCCCAGCCCATGGAGTGAGACAGCTGAGTGCCTCTGGGCCAAGG